ATATTGTGATTATCTTTCCCTGCTTTGGTAATATTCACATACTGCTCTTCCCAATACAACTTTTCAGCCCTCATCTCCATATAGAGTTTCCGTTGTATTAGGAAATTTTTTTGGAGGCCTTCTAACTCAAGGCATACTTGCTCATATTCTTTAGTCTTTTGGGTGACAAGCCTTTCTGCCCTCATCCTTTCAAGGTACTCCCTTATCTCCAATTCTTATCTATCCTAGAGTCTGGTGGTAAGATACTTCATTTGTTCTTCTTGATCTAAAGAAGCTTGCGTCAGACTTTGGTTTTGAGCCTTAGATCTTCTTTCATCACCTTCTTGTCTTGAATTGCCTTTTCATACCACCTATTTAATCTCCCAATTTCACTAGCAACATCCTCCAATCGTTGGTTGTAGGAATCCAAGTTGAAAGTGGCACTTAATAACCCTTCAGTCGAACGCTTCCGCTTAAGACTCTCCTTCTCAAATGCCTCACGATCTCTCTGAATCTGTTGGTCTTTGGATTCAAGTATGCATTGCATTTGTCTTTTCTCTTTAGTCAAGTTATGGAGGTTAAGCTCTAATTCTTCCTTCTCCCTTGTAGCTTGCTTCAAGGCCTTCTTCAAATTATCTATTTCTTCTAAGGACATAGGCGGAGAATTTGGGACCTCTGGCTTGTACTCAGGATCTACATTAAATTGCAACTTAACAACTCGTACCCTATCCAAAACCCATCGAGTGTAGGGCTCTTTTGCCACAACATTCTTCCTTTCAACCTTTCTTTTATTAACCCTATTCCAAGCCCAAATGATCTTGTTGAGCAACTCTTGGTCGTTTTTGCCCATGTCATGAATGATCAATTGTTGGAGTTGTTCATCTGAGGGTTTATCTTCCAAAGGATGCCTTAGTTGTCGTAGGGCCAAGGTAGGGTTGTAGTTGAAGCAACCTCACGATTTGATCAATGGAACATTAGGAAAGTCTCCGCAACTATAAATGATATCTCCAATGTCCATCTTCCTCGCATACCACAACACAGAATTAGCAGTAAGAGACTTTAATTTTTGAGGCCACTCATACCTTGTCAGATTCGGAATCATGTAGTCTTCCTTGTAGAGGTGAGTCATAAACCAAGAATATAAGAGTGGGATGCAATATTTTAGAGTACCGCTTCCTTTTCGTACCGTGTATGAAGTGCATAATAAATGTCAACAAGTAAAGCGGGAGTTAGATCTATATTGAAAACTTTTGCACCCCAAAATACGCTAATAGCTGCAGGGTCAATATAGTCCAAAGTCTGTGGAAATAAGATTACACCAAATACAAGCAGTCATAAACAATCGATACAAGATTCCCATACTTTGTTATTGGAAAAATCAAAAGCCTTAGTCTCCAAGTAGCATCTTTTAATCCCTTGTATGCCACCTTCTTTTTTGTAATTAAGTGAGAATTCGGGATAAGGGATCCCTAAACCCTCTACCAAGATTTTGGCGTCAATAGTCTTCCTGATACCCATATAAGCTTTTTCTTTAGAAAAGTTCAAAAGTCTACCAAATTCTTCCAAAGTCGGTGCTAGCTGAAAGTCTTGAAAAGTGAAGCACCTCAATGGAGAATCGTAAAACTGAATTAGGGAAGAAATAGCATCAAATGGTACCTCTACTTTTGTTAAGTCAAGGGTATCCGCATAACGGCGAGCGAACATCTTCAAAGCTCTTTCAGACAGTTTCCCCTTTATAGCCTTGATTTTTGTCATATATAGCTTGACGACATTTATACGGACAAGTTGTTTCCCTTTGGTACTCATTTTTAGGACACTTCACCAAAACCTTTAATTTTTTTGACCTTGTGAATAAGGCAAGCAAAAAAGAAATGGAGGGTAATGAATATATGAAATGCAAAAATTGTACGAATGCATGATTGTGGGGCTTAGTGATGGGATTTTATGAAATGTACGCTTAGAAGATAGACTCCTAGTTTTGGCCTACGAATTTTCTACCCTCCCCATAAGGTGGTTTTCTTAAGGGTATCATTAATAACACTAGAGGGAAAGACACAAGGTCCTGTCTTAAGTGAAGCCTCTTTGCAGACCGAAACTTTCGTCTCTAGGTCAGGAAATGTCTCATCATGAGATTTTGGTTTAAGGGTTGTACAAAGAGTCATGGGTTTCATTCCAAAGTCCTACTCCCCAAGAGGATATCTCTTGAGACGTATTTCTTTCGTGGAATTCCACAGACTCTAGGCAAAGTCGTCACATAAACTCATAGGGCTGATGTATCCCTTTGTCTAATAGACGAACCTTCTTTCTAAGGGTTTTGAAAAATATATATTTTTGAAATAATAAAATCCTACCGCAGATGAATATATGTAATAAATAATATAATAAGAAAAAATAAATAAATAATTAAATAAGCAAGAACAAAAACCCAAAAACAAGAAAACCCCTAAAACCAAAAGAAAAGACTTCTAAACCCTAGGGTTGAATTCCCCTGCAGAGTCGTCAGCTATTGTAAACGGTCTTAAATTGAGAGTTGCCACCCTTAATTTTTATCTTTAGGAAGGGGATGTAAAGTATAACCCTAATTTGGTAAGAGATTCTAAGTTGTTTGACTCGTTTCTAGACGAAGCGAAGGTGTTAGGCACCCCTCATCTACCTTGTTCACAAGGATACTACTAGGGTTTAGATTCACGATTCAGGAAATAGGGTTTTAATTTTTTTTAGGGGAATTTGCCACGATTTTAGTTGTATGCCTATGTATCCTCTTATGAGGAATCAGAGCCCCACTTCATAATTGGTGGTTGATTGGTGTTTTTTATGAATTACGAAGATATTTAAATTCCCCTTGCACTTAGCATGGGTATGTGAATAACAGAGTTGTTAAACGAAGTGCACACTCGATTAAAATATTCTCTTAATCCTTTTTGAAAATTAATTGTTTAGTTAATTTATAATGAAAAAGAGTTTAGTGTTGGTTAAATACTTTTTAAAGTATTAATTATAAAAACATCTTATTAATGCATGGTTAAAATGATTTTAATGCAATAAATGAATATTTATTTAGATGAGTTGAAAAATAAATATTTGATTTATAGTAATAATGAAATAATATTAAAACTATAAATATATTAAAATAATAAAAAAATTATTATAATAAAATAATAAAAGAAATTAAAAAAACACAGGGGGTGTAAATTATGTTGGGCTAGAAAAACATGGGGGATATAGGTAGTAGGGCCCTAAATTCAGATGTTGAATTCAAGGCCAACGCATGGGGGTTTGAATTTGAACTACGTAGCAAAAGCTGGGGGTGTAGAGAGTAAGGGTCCAAGTTCAGATGTTGGACTTGGCCCATTAGGATGATGGGGATGTGATCTTTTTATGCAGCTAGCAAGACAAAAACAGAGAGGATGTTTTAGTAATGGGCCTGACCCAAAGGTTGTTTGGGAGTCAGTTTGGACTTCATGCGAACGGTTGCATGGTGATACGATAGGTGTGCGTTTCTGGAACGCTTGATTGGGATCGCATGGTTATGATGGAGGGAGTATGGCAACGGTCATGAAGCGACATACATCTGATTATGAGACACTATAATTTCAGTTTTTACAAATTATTTTATTATTCGTTCACTCTCTCTCTGACCTATTCTTCATTCTCTCTTCTAACAACACAAATTGAAAACCCTAATTGGCGGCGGGCCAGATTGTCTCCCTCCTTCTTCAATACAAAAACAACAACGATAATCACCCCAAAACATCCCCAAACCCCAAATCTCCCTACAAAATCTAAGATCAAATGCAAAAAAAACACAACAAGCACAGAAACCCTAAAGCTAAGTGTTCTACCTCTTTGTGCGTGAATTTGTTTGTTCTCCTCTGATTTTCTTTGATCGCTAATCTTTCTTCTCTGTGTATCTCAGGTTCAACAGTGGTGGTTCAAGGATCTAGGGTTTCAGATGTTGAAACCCTAGGCTTACTGAGCGACGATGGTGTTTGGATCTCCTTCCTCTTTCAGGCGTTTTCTTCTCTATTCTTCAAGCTGTCAATCTTCTCCTCCTCCTTTCTGTCTTAGAACCTCAGGCTTTTATAGTGTTTAGGTTTAGTCAAAATAGAAAGTTTTTTTGTATGGTTGTCGTTACTTAGAGATTGAGAGCAGAATTAGGGATTTTAGAGATTAATTTTGATTTGTTTGTAATTCGGTTTAATTTTGTTCAGCAAGACTTGATTCAGTTAAGATTTATTTTGATTTTGTATTAAGTTGATTTGTAAACGTAAGATTTTTGGACAATTCAAGATGTGATTTTGTTTTGTACTGATGCTGATTTGTAAATTGCGCTTGTAAAGTCTTTAAATGATTCAAAGGGAAAGATTTTAATAAGGTGAATCCCCCTGTAAACTTAAATCTCATATATACAAATACATTATAAAATAAATGATAATTCTGAAATTTAATAAGGGATAAAAAATTAGGAATCAGTAAGACAAATTTATGGTATAACACACTACAATAACATCAACAAGTCATTACGTTATCAAGGGCATAATTACATTATCCAATAAAGTTTTTTGTGATCAACAAATTTATTAAAACCCAAGACAAAATAATAATAAAAAATCAAAAACATGATATTCTTCTCCATATCAACATGATTCTTCTTTATTAAAGCATTCTTCTTCATCAAATCATTAACTTTTGTCAAAAGTGAGTTAAACACTTCTTGTGAATGTTTTGGCCTCTGCACATGAATCTCAATTAAAAATGAACATATTTTCCTTCTTCGTAACTTTAAGAAATTGCTCAAAAAGTCAGATTTGAGAAGATGAAAACACAAACTAAAAATTAGAGATTTAAATGTAGCTTGAACAACTCACAGCCATAAAGCCTTCATCCTTGATTATCAGGTGTTCACGCAATCGCAAGTAATGAACCCAAACCAAAATAACATTATATCAGCTTCCTGATTACTATTTTCCTTAAAATCCTCAAACTCTGCTAAACTCTGTTCCTCCTCAACAAATCCGAAAATGGTTCGAAACCCTTTATCCAAAACCGCAAACAAATACCTCAGAAAATTCAGAAAATGGCCACACTCACCTTACAAAACCTCATGGCATCACAATTTCGGTGAACAACAAGCTCTACAAATTCTCAAACAAGCCACCACTCAACCCCAACCACAAAACAACAACGACCCTTTTCTTCTCTCCACTCTTATTCACTCTTTCAAAGCTTATCACACTGACCCAACTCCAAAAGCTTACTTTTTTCTCATCAAAACCTTTACCAAAAGCAACCCTTCACAGTTACATCAAATCCCCCATATTCTCAACCATCTTGAACATAATGAGAAATTCGAAACACCTGAGTTTGTGTTTTTGTATCTTATTAGATTTTATGGTGTTTCTGATAGGGTTCAAGATGCTGTTCATTTGTTTTTTCGAATTCCGAGGTTTAGATGCACACCAACTGTTTGTTCTTTGAACTTGCTTCTTTCGTTGCTTTGTAGGAAAAGAGAGTGTCTCAAAATGGTTCCGGATGTTTTGTTGAAGAGTCAGCAGATGAAAATCCGGCTCGAGGAATCGAGTTTTCGGGTTTTGATTAAGGCGTTGTGTAGAATTAAGAGAGTTGGTTATGCTGTTAAGATAATGAATTGTATGATTGAAGATGGTTATGGTTTGGATGATAAGATATGTTCTTTGATTGTTTCGTCGTTGTGCGAACAAAATGATTTGACTAGTGCCGAGGCTTTGTTTGTTTGGGGGAATATGAGGAAGCTAGGGTTTTGTCCTGGTGTGATGGATTGTACGAATATGATTAGGTTTTTGGTGAAGGATGGGAAGGGAAAGGATGCTTTGGAGATTCTGAATCAGCTGAAGGAAGATGGGATTAAGCCTGATATTGTTTGTTATACTATTGTTTTGAGTGGAATTGTTAAAGAAGGTGATTATGTGAAGTTAGATGAATTATTCGATGAAATAATTGTATTAGGACTCATTCCTGATGTTTATACCTACAATGTGTATATAAATGGTTTGTGTAAGCAGAATAATTTTGATGAGGCTCTTAAGATTGCGGTCTCTATGGAAACATTAGGATGCAAACCAAATGTGGTTACTTACAATACTCTATTGGGTGGATTGTCCTTGAAAGGGGATTTAAGTAAGGCAAAGAGGGTAATGAAGGAGATGAGGTTGAAGAGCATTGAGCCGAACGTGCATACGTATAGGATCATGCTTGATGGTTTAGTTGGTAACGGTGAGATTGAAGAAGCTTGTGTTTTGTTGGAGGAAATGTTGGAGAAGTGCTTTTATCCAAGATCTTCGACTTTTGATAGTATCATACTTCAAATGTGCCAAAAGGGTTTGATTAGTGACGCAGTTGTGTTGATGAATAGAATTGTCGATAAAGGTTTTGTTCCTGGAGGTAAGGTTTGGGAAGCATTGATTCTTAACTTAAGATCTAAGGTTGCTTATTCAGAAACCACATTTGTTGGATTGTTGAGCACAGAATAATGTTAGTCACAATGTCATGGATCTGATTTTGAAGTGTATGGATTCTCATTCTTTGTATTTGGTTGAAGATCTTCATCTTCATAGTTATAACAAAGTAGAGACATGACATGTTCAAATAGGATATGAAAAGCATAATCACTAATTGTTCTCAGTTCTTTCTGTTTTTTCATAACCTATGTAATTTGAAACTAAACTGGAAACATATGTTTAAAAACCCAGGATTAACCACACACAGTGGAAACTGGCAAAAAATACTACCCAACAGTTTCAAACTTCTATCAAAATTGCTACACACATGTGTTTACTGCCGGGCAATGTAGAAATGGTAACGTGTTCTGTGCCGGGCAAGGATCAGCTACCTTTATGGTAGGAAAGGCATGGTGCTTTTGGTTGATATTTGCCACTTTTAATGAGAGAAATTGACATAAAATTGAAAAATGAGATGAAAGAGAGTCGTGTGAAGAGAGAGATAGACTTAAAGTTATGGTGTCTTTGGCGCCATAAAGGCACCATATTCCTTTCCGGTTTTGACATAAGTTACAATCCCAATTCTCAAATTATAAGATGGTTTTATTTAGCTCGACCTATACTTGCAAAATTTACTTATAATGTGAAGGATAAATATCTGTAAAATGGATATAATCACAAGCACGAACAACTATTTATTAAAATAAATGGATATGACCGCAGACACGAGGATTTTAATACAAATCATGTTTCATATCTACCTAATATATTTATATATTTTTGTTTCTATTATTATATATTCATGTTAATTTATTAATTTAATTAAATATATTACAATTAAATTTATACGTATTTTAATATAAATTTTTGTTTATTTTTTTAATTCAACATTAACATCCTTGAAAAAAATTTTAACATTGTTAAAAACTTAAAATTACATGATATATAATAATTGATCAATTATTTTTATTAGAAATGCGGATAAACAGGTATGGGTATGAGTATTTAAATACCCATAGAATACTGGTATGGATAAAAATGTTGATGCCCAAACGAGTATGTTTTGGATATGGAGATTTTTTTCAAACCGCGAGTATGTGGACGAATACTATAATACCCTACTAATAATCTATCCATTTCCATCCCTGACCATTATAAATTCGAATTAATAAAATATTTATTTAAATTTTAATACTATTAATTTGAAAAAATATAGTTTGGCAAATAGATGAAGATATAATGCCTTGAATTTTTGTGGCTTGCGAGGTTATGGTTATATAGATTTGGTGCATTGGTGGATACAAGCCTGATTAGATTGGGGATCTGTTCATGTTCAGGTTCAAAATTTCTTTTAGATTGAGGTAATTTGTATGGTAAAAAAAGAAATGACAAAAATTGAAACTCTTAGTTAGTGAGAGATAAAAATTTAAAAACTCTTTATTTGTTCAGACTTCATAATTTTTCTAACTCTGCTATTGATTTAGTGTCTAGGTGGGTATGTGTTAAAATAAATGTATGCATAGTAACTATCTTAGTTTTTAACATTGATTCTCTTATATTGAGAGAGTCGCATTTTCTTAATTATTTTAGAGAGTGTTAACTCCGGACGGAACGTGAGAATTTGAGCTATTAATTTAAATAATACATAAAAAATAAAGTAAAATAAAAGAAGATAAAATGTGTAAAATAATTTTTATTAATTGATTGAATGTTTGAAATTTAAAGAGTGTGATATTAATATAGGAAACTATTCTATTAGTCATAACAAATTATGATCTATAAAAAATATGTGTCATTCGACTACTACACGAGTTAAGTGTAATTGTTTTCTCAATTTCTAGAATAGGTGACTCCACGTTTGGTTATTGTTTTGTGATGGAACTAGAGTTGATCAGTAAATGATGATGTAGAGCTTGCAGTAGTGATCTTGAGCCTACGATGCATTGGAGAATGAGTTGACCTACAAGGTTAGCACTTAAACGCTCAATTCAGTAAGAGAGTGAAAGTGGTGCTTGGATGAGAATCGATTTGCATACCAAAAACATAATGTGATTTCCCTTTAGGAAAAGCGGTTGATAAATGAAAGCATGGAGTGAGGCCTGATTGCAATCAACCACCATATTGATCTGGGTGGCCAATAGAGCTCATGTACTTATAATCACTTGGGAAAAAGAGTATATCGGTTCTATTCTTTATTATTTTTGCTTTAGTATTGGGCCTTTATCCTTAGGCCTTGTGGATGGCCCAAAATGGTTTTCCAAAGTTCTTATTTCTAGTTTGCAAGACGAGTGTTTGCAATATGTGCTCCAACTCAACCACTGGATCTGAAGATGTGAAAGCCTTTGACGGACCGTTGATTTCCTTGGGGACATGTGCTTTAAATGCCTTCCTCGTGATAAGTAATGTTTTGGCGAGAATGACTGAAATGTGTCCCTATGCTAGTTAGTAATAATATTTTCCCTTTCTAAGAGCACTTGAGTACTTTGAACCATTTTTTAGGAGATCTCAATTGTTGGTGGTACATAGTTGATAGTAAGATCGTTAGTGAAGGAGTCGCTCATAAGAAGATTCTAAAGCATCATTTTTACCTTTTTCTTCCATTAACAACATGTAAAAGAGTTATTTATGCTTCCTTTGTCATTTTACTTTGTGAGCTTTCTTGTTATAGAATTTGGTCAAGTTCATACGATCTTGTTTGCTGGTACTTGACTTTCACGTTTGAGCTATCCATCTTCTCTAAGATAAATCTAACATTTTCATTTTGCTTATGCTCCATTTTCAAGGGCTATTGGAATAATGCACATTAGATATCCCTATTTCTTTTTTAAGAGATTTCTTCAGTTTCTTGGCATTTTCCACTAGGGGAGCTGATGTCTGAACTTGCTTGCTTGCCATATCTTGTTTGTTTTTTGCTTTTATTCATAGAATTTTTTATCATGGAGATTGTTTCAACATCAACTAGGAAGGAGAGTAGCAATGTCTTAGGCGACTGGGTAGACCGGAAAATACCTAGGACTATTTTTGCTTTTATTCTTAAGGGTGTCTTCGACTAGGTTTCGATTGATGCGGATCCTTCGTCTAACTGGGGAGTGTTTCCCCTAAATGAGGATAAGAGTGTATGCAATGAATATAATGGGTGTGTTATCCCCTTTCATTAGTGTGTATTCTCTCTTATAGGTTTTCTCCTTCCTTTTAATGAGTTTGAATTCAGTGTTGTGAACCACTTGCTCATCGCCCTTGTGAGGACAAAGTTGTTTTTACATCTGGCCATATGTTTTGATGATAACTTTATATGTTATCTTTAACAACAATTATATCCTCTAACATGTTTCTGTCTAGTGTGTGGATTTTGTCATATAGGTTCTGACTCTGGTAAGAAGGTGTGTGATGTCACCAGGTTCTGAACTCAACACTCTGGAAGAATACCTTTGGTGTGTTACAAGTTAAGTCAAGATTAAGGAATGCGTCTTATGCAACGGTTCTAAGGGAAGTTAGTAAAAGAGCTTGTGATTGTGACTTATTCAAGGAAGCTTTAGAGGCCTTCTAAAGATTTACTTTTGATGTTTCAAATTATGAAGATGTTGAAGAAAAAGGTTCTACTGAATGAAGTCCTGAAGATCTGAAGATATTCTTTTGAAGACCAAGTGCTGAAGACTGAAGAAGGCGAGAGTTCTCTGAACAAGCCCTGAAAGATTCTGATGACTTAGGTTCTTGATTCCACCTGTTAGATGAAGGCGCCTTATCTAGAGAGGAGGGTTGAATAGACCACTTGAAAAGAGCGCACACAGAAGATTCACATAATGCATCGTCTACCGAACCTTAGTTATTGGAACTCGGATATGCAAATATAAAATTGAAAATGGAATGAAAGGGATAATTTGAATTAATTGGAATTTAATCAAGTAACACTTTATGAATTGTTTAGATCAAGTTACTAGCAAAGCTATTTCCAATGCAATTATCAAAAGAACAAATGAAAACAATTTGTCGAACACTTGGTGTGAAATTGATTTTTCAGAATTTTCCTTTGATTTGCGTTGATACAAAAAAATACTTATAATAAAAAATGATTATAAGCAATATCAGCACTTAGTTCAAAACAAAAATATTTTGGAAAAATTATTACGAGTTAAATGATAACACAATGCTATTAGACAAATTGGTTTATGAAAATAAATCCAGTAAAACAATACAAAAAAAGATACACGAGGATTTTTCTTCATAGTTCCCCACTTTCGTCATCGCGTGTAGGTACGTCTACGCCTAATTCCAATAGAATTAGGATAATTTTTAATATGCAAAAAGTTGATACAAGAGAAGCGTTCAAGAGAAACTCCACAATCCCTCATGCTTGTTGTTGATTCAAACCCTTCTCCTCTTTTAATCTTGAGCAAGAAAAAGACACAATAGATCCCAATTGAGTTGTCGATATTGCTACTCCTTTGTTTTCTTTATCTACAAAGCTTTCATGCACAAACGATTAAATTGTATCTATTGCAAACACAAGACTTCAATTGTAATTATAATTCTCCTTTCTATCGCTACTTCCTATGCGTTATTTATCTCTAAAGGATCCCTTGCATTCTTTATTTCCAAAGGACTTCACTTGTCCGCAATTACCTCTTGAATGTCTTACACGAATACCCCCAAATCAACCAATAATCTTGGAGGACAAACCCACGGTTTTTCTAGATAAAGACCCCTACAAATCTCAACCCAATATTCTCGACTACACAAGAACCTAATCGGACGTTATCAAACCTCATTTATATGGCACCTAAAAAAAGATCGTTACAATAGAATGTTAGTGTGTATGTGTAATACAGTGGGAGAACTGACTTTTTGGTTTTATCGCAAATGTTGCAGTTAGCAAGAGTCGTCACCGACTTTTATTTTATCCAATATTTAGGAAAGGTGAAAAGAACAAGAAAGACCTTTGATAGATTTTGAGTTCGGGGGGTAAGTTATGAAAAGGGAAGGTGTTAACACCCTTTTCATCCTTAGTTACCTACGTGCTCTTAATTGCTTAGCTC